TTTGAAGCTGTCACTTTGTAATTACCTCAGCAAATACAGGATTGGAGAGAGTTGACTGAAGTCTTCCAGTTGGACAGCCCTGGGAGAAAATAAGAAGTGACAGACCACATAACACAGCGTGGGACGTAAATAACTTTTACCCCCCCTCTCTCTCTTCTCTCTCTCTCTCTCTCTCTCTCTTCTCTCACTCTCACTCTCTCTCTCTTTGTCATAGAAACATGGATGATACTTCAAGGATTTTGAAAGAGAGAGAGGGAGAGATGAGCCGAAATGAGAGAATATCCCTCGCTTTCATCTTTAGAAAAAATCTCTGACATCCTCTCTCACTTGCTTTGATGAAAGTCTTTGGTTTTTTGGTGTTTTATCCTCTTACACGAGGTGTATGTATTATAGGTTGTGTGTGTGTGTGTGTGTGTATTCATGTTGCACACACACGCACACTCACACGTGTTGTGATGAACGCTGGCACGCAGCAATGTCATTTTCTCACCAAAATGTGTGTAGGTGGCATGAGGAATCTTGCTTTGTGTGTGTGTGTGTGTGTGTGTGTGTGTGTGTGTGTGTGTGTGTGTGTGTGTGTTTGAGGGACTTTTCTCAGCGCCAGTCAGCGTTGGAGAGCCTGAATGTTTCATTCCGTGTCCTCATCAAGTACAAAAAGTACAGGGGTTTGTGTTCTACCCACCGGCTGCTCGGCTTCATTTTGTTGTCCAGAACTTACTTCACCGTCCTGTGTTCTTTGAGCTCCGGGCAGGTTGTTACCGAGACAACAACACTGTTGTTACAGCATGTGTGTGTCAGTGTGAGTCCAGCATTGATCACTGAAGAAACACTTCCACACTGGTAGGGACTGATGGTGTGTCTTCAAGCTACCTCAACCAGTGGTGTAGGAAGTACTCAGATCTTTTACTTAAGAAAAAGTAGCAAAACTACAGTATACAAATACTCAAGTACAAGTTTCAAATAAAATTGCTGCATTGAAAATCTTACTTAAAACTCCCCTCCACTCAAATATATATGTTCTTATTGTTCCTACAGTGTGATGTTTGAGCTTCACTGTGCAGAATGCTGTATGTGCAGAGTTTGACACTAGGATGTTGTCACATTCATCTGCTGAAAGTGGACATTTCTGATTTTAAGTAGATGCCTTTTCAAGGATTTGAATGTGGAAATTATATTATTTTATTTATTTTATTTTTAAAACCACATCAGACACACATTATTGTTCAATTCAGATTGTTTGTCTATGTTGTACTACATGTCTGCAGGGGATCTTTAAGTGAAAGTTAATATGCATAAGAATCTAAATATACTTCCAGTACTCATTTCAAATACTCTCTATGCAGAATGGCCCATCAGAAGACTATATATCACTAGCTTATAATCAGTGATCCAATCCAATCCAATTTTATTTGGTAAGCACTTTAAAAACAACCAAAGTTGACCAAAGTGCTGTACAGGAGAATAAATAAGACATCATAAATGTACGCAGTGATGGTGATGATGAAGACCACTGTGAGGAATGATGTATTCAATTCAGTGATGCATCAAGATACATACAAGCATCACTAATGTTGAAACTGGTAAAGACTTATTTTATTTACTTTATATGCTGCTGGTAAGTAAATCCATAATAAAACATTATAATTTATAAGGTGATTTATATTTTGTATTAATAATATGAATCAGAAAAGTAACTAATGATTAATATTGTCAAATAAATGTAGTGAATTATAAGTATAAAGTAGCATAAAATAGAAATACTTTAAATGTAAGTATAGTTTTACAGATGGATTCCACCACTGACCTCAGCCCCCATATATGTACATTTATATACACACACACACATATAGCACATGCTTTCAAGCTGTACCATCCTGCCTCTGGCTCTATACCACCAGTGTCTTTCTCTCTTTCTCCTTTGACTCTCTTTTCTCCCGCCCTCATGGCACCTCCACCGCTCTGCCTGGCTCCAGTCCAGCTATAGATTGTTAATTATGGCTTGTACGTGATGCACGGTCTTGCCTCCAAATACTACAGCAGTGTTCTTTGGCAGACATCAAAGTGTCGGTGTTTCATTCCACGGGGATTAGTGATGGTAGTGTGTGATAATGCCCCTGCCTGCTCACTGAATTAAACGCCCATGGCTGGGCGCAGGTACTAGGAGTCTAATGAACACACACTCACACAGGCATCCGTACACGGTACATACACTTAAACAATGAGACATGCAAAAACATACAACATACAAAAAGAAAGATACTTACATGTTACAAACAGAGCGAGAACCTGCCGAAAATACTCACAGCCTTGTTACATATACACAATATTCATCCGTCATGATTAAACTGTGGACTAAACATCCAAGCAAACTCTCATCCCTTTCATCTGTCTTCTGTATGTTGGTCAATGTCCACAGAGATCCGCAGTACATTGACTGTCCTTCACTCATCTCTCATCTTACACCCCCGTGGCAAATTGGATTTTTAAACGGCTCGTTTTTTGATCATTCCCCTGTACTAATAATTGACTGTGGTTTTCTCTCTCACTGTCTGTTTTCCTCTCCCTCCTTCTCTCTGTCTCACCAGCAGACTTAATGAAACAAGAATTGGTAAAAAAAGAAATGTTTTAAAAAAAAGAGCAGTCTCTATAGCAACTCTCGCCATGATTTGTACAAAGGACAAATGACAAGTGTTTAAAGGGCTGCGGGGCGTTTTAATGTTCAGTTTGTGCTTTCTCTCGTCGACTCAGAAGGTCTCGGGAGACAGCAGGAAAAACAGCCATGAAAGGAAAATTACAGAGAGAGACAGAGGGAGAGGCCGAGGGAGAGAGAGCGATAGAAACCCGTCCTTGGTGATCAATGCATGTGCTATTGTCTGTTCTGTTTCTTTGTCCACAAGGACGGAGGCAGAGGAGAGGAAGCAAGTGATGCATATGAACAGTGTTTAGGCCCCTCATGCCAAATGCCTGACCTCAAGCTGGATATGAAAGTAACTGATGTAGGTGTATCTGTGTGTCATACAGGACATATACTGTATGTATAAATATGTTGGAAGACTTTTTTTTGCTGCTTGAACCAAATAATATTATGGTAATCTTTAATTGTCTACTGCAGCTTGTTATTATTATCTTCCGATAATAGCTTATTACAGATAAATTGCTATTGGTGCAAATGATAGCTAATAACAAGAAATTGCAGTACAGAAATAAACTGTTTGCTATAATATAAAAAACTTTATTTTGCAACTGTGAAATATCCTCCTCAATAAATTCTTTAATAACCAGATTGAGGAAAGCCATTATAATTTCTCTTTCTCTATATTATCTCGATATTGGCCTCAAATATCCAGAGGATCAGTCAGACTATAGTTTAGATAATCTAATCTTATCTAAACTTTTGATTATTTTACCATATGATTGTTTCTTGTCCTATGTTAGTGTGACATCACCATATTCCCAGATCTCAGCAGTTACTGTGGAGAGTACAGTGTTATCATATGTGATGGAAATAACAGCCAAAAGTAAGACTCAAATTGTAATAAACTGGAAATTATTATTTAAATGACCAGTATGCAGGATTTAGTGGCATCTAGTGGTGAAGTTGCAGATTGCAACTAAGTGAACACTGTTCATGTCCCATTCAATGAGAACAGCCTGCAAAACTTGTGAAAACGCCAAGGCCTTGTCTAGAGCCAGTGTTTGGTTTGTCCATTCTGGACTACTTTAGAAACATGTCATTTCAACATAGTAGACTCCAAGGATAAATATATTTATATCTATAGATATAAATGGCTCATTCTAATGTAATGAAAACGCAACAAAAAGGGTTTGGTGTACATATACAGAGACTATAAAATAGGACCAAAATTGTAACAAACCATGAAAATGGACCTTTAAATCCTAGAGTTTAAGTTATTCCTCTGTTTATAACTAAGCTGGAGGTGATGACAGCCTAAAGAGGTTAAAAGGTTGTGACTAAAGTAATGCTCCTATCTCCCCTATCATAAAGACTACACCAAACAAGTCATTTCATATTTGAACCTATATAGCCAGTAGTAAAAGAGTATATTTATACTGAGCAAATATGCTTTGACTAGTGATGTGAGGCTGTTTTCTATGAAAAAGAACATGTACATAGAGCCAAACGCCTGAATAAGAAAAAAAAAAGAAATGAAAGAAAGAGCCTTGAGCCTGTTAGGCCAAGTTAGAGTTGCTGTGAAAGTGTAACCTGCATCATTTATGTGATTATTTCTGCTCTTCACGGGCTTTAAAATGTGTCTTGCTTACTGACAACACTGTAATCCTCTCCTCTGTTTGTTGTCATGACATCCTCATCATTTGTCTGACATGCTCCTTCAGTATATGGGCTGTCATTCACGGCTGCTTCCTGCTTTAGTGACACGGTTAATGTGTGTGTATGGGTTCAAGACTAAAGAGAAAGAGAACGGTGCAGACAGATAGATGGACAGACACCAACAGAGACAAAGACATGACCTTTATTTGTCCTTGTGAACTGGTTTAACAGCACACGGTGGTAACGGAAAGAAAGGAACAGATAAGGATGGCAACAACAAGAGGGTGAGTCTGAGAGAGATAGAGAGAGAGGCAAAGATAAAAAAAGGGCATACAGGGGTGAAAAAAGGAAACACCAAAAAACGAGTCTTAGCAGCCAGACAAATACCTCTCTCCACCTGTAATCACCTCCTGCAGGTCAGCTTCTGCCTCGCCTCGCCTCGACTCGCCACAATCCTCCAACTAACACAGAGCCAAGCCATCAAACGGCTATCTCTCCTTCTACCTCCCCTTTCCTCTTTTCTTTTCTCTTCTTTCTCTTTACACACACAGAAAAGACCTTGATGTTTTTCCAATAATTGGCAGCAGAGGTTGACTTTTTTTTCTCTCCCCCCTTTTTTTTTCTGTTTATCTTTTTTCCTCTCTCTCTCTCTCTCTCTCGCTCTCTCTTTTTTTTTTTTTTTTTTTTTTTGCTCTTCCTCTTCCTTTAGAGATGAATACTTGGCCCGGGATCAAAGGCAGACCCCAACCGGCCACACTGGCCATCACAAAGGGGCGTTGGGCGCTGGCGTGGGGCCAGGTGCTGCACATGTCCACATAGCCGGGGACAAGCCATGCAGATGGGGCCTGCAGAACCCTTGTCGCCTCCACCCCCACTCCTGTGTACGAGAGGTCAGTGGCTAAAGTATCAGAGTCTGTGCTTCCTGTAAGATGATATAGTCTTGTGCGACTGACTCCCTTTTGTTTCCATCTGTCTTTTCCTTGCGCTTTGTGTTTCTCTCAACTGGTTTGTTTACTTCCTGCAACTGCCCTGTCTTTGTTTCTTCCTATCACACACTCATCTTCTCTGACTTTCTGTCTTCTTCTTTGCTGTTTCAGGGCACAGAGCTGAGAAAGACCGGCGGGTCTGTGTAGCGGGAAAAGAACCAGCTGAGGTAAACATCTTGCCCCAACGGACAGAACTGTGTTTAAATGTTTGAGAAGGCCCGACTAGAGTTTAGTCGAACACTTCCCTCTACCCTCAATAGCCCTTGTTTAAATATATACGCGCTACAGCCAAGTCCGATGTCTCCGAGGCCAGTACAAATAAATTGAGGTGGAGGAAACAAAAAGTGGGATAGATAAAACAAATGAACAAGCCCTCATAGTCCAAATATATATGCAACACCCAGCTTGGTTTTCAACTCCTTCAACCGACACGTTTGCAGAATTTCTCTGAGGACAGCCAAGCTGATGTTACTGAGTCAGGGCAGGATTGTTGCACTCTTGGATTACAGACCAATTGTGATTCACTTCATTAAATTGTAACAAGTGATGGGAAAAGACCAAAACACATCCTCTCTGTCAGAACCTTCCTCATACATTTCCAATACAGTTCTCATCTGTATTACAGTTGGGAAATTGCAATATATAGACATATACACCCATACAGCCTTGTGAGTCCTGAGATCTATACTGTTCGCACATACAAATCTTTCCCTTTATCATGCCTGGCAAGGTCTTTAAGGAAATCAATCAAACAATCTGCATTATGTTGCCTTCTGTAACAAACTCCTGTGTTTTTCTTCAGATTTTTCATTTGTTTTGTTAAAAAATATCCAGTTTACATATTTACTGTGACCAAAATTGAGATAAACTAATTTAACTTCAGCTTAAAAAAATATTTTCATAATGTTAAAATGTCTAAAACTGGCAAAAACATCCAGGACGTAAAGGAGCAGACGTACATTTTTTGGGGAGAAAAAAAAAGAAGACAACAGCAGTATTTTTCCACACTCTGCATGCTGTCATGCATGAATCCCCGGCTTCAGCCATATGTTTAAGATTAGATGTACTTTTTTGTTAGACGAGAACACAGTCAACAAAGTTCTGCTGCTTCCCCGCTGGTCATGAATCAACTGGGCTCTGTCCACACCCTCTCTTTGTGGTCTTAATTCTATTAAATACTATAATAACAGCCATCATATGTGTGAAGAATAACACAACATTTACAGTATGATTGATGGTATAAATCATATGTTTCTTAACGTTAACTGACAAGCAGTGTGTGCTTTGTTCATTTCTGGACATGTATGTGTTTAATGTGTGGATTACCTGAAGAAAACAGGATGAGAGAATCTTTACTGCTTACTTTACTGCTAGTATGTGTCATGTAAACCCCCCCCCTTACATTAACCTATTGTTAAAGCAGAATAATTTAGTTCTTTTGAATGGTGATTACAAATGATTAAAGTGATACTGAATCATGCTAACTTTAAAGCTGCATTCATTGTTTTTTGACCACTAGGGGGCCACAGATCAAGCTGGAAACACAGGTTGTCATATCATATCATATCAAATATGCTAGAAACAGGAACAATTGTCTACATACACATCCAACAGACACAGGGCAACATCATTCATTTGAAGCAATGTTTCTGTCCACGTGAGAAATCAAATATTCATCCCAAATTAGCTCTGCTTCAGTCAAGCCGGTGAGCTAGGAAGAGCAGGTTCCCTAATACAGTGGTTCTCAAGTCCTTGAGGGGGTTCCCAGAAAAATTAGGAAAATTTTAATTTCACTGTTATTTCATTGACTAGAAGTTTGCCGAATGAAAGATTGGCTGTTCTCTTAATAGGTTTTATTCTTGGTCATATACTGGTCTGCACACTGATGTGTATCAATTTGGGCATCACTGACATCAAAAAGGCTGAGAACCACTGCCCTAATGTATGCAAACCAAACGTGTCCACTCAAGTTTGACAAACTTAAAACTGCTACCTGAAGAGGGATGAGTGGTATTGAATGGAGTACCACTGTTAACTACAATATGATGCATGGCTACTAAGAGCCAAAGAAGAAGATACCAAAGACCAAGAACCATCAAGCTACAAGTTGTCACAGTATTCCATTTTTCCTGATCATTTATCTGGCTCAAATTAAGGACACGAATTTTAAAGTCATTTAATTTGTAGTTGTTCTCCAAACACTTGATTAAAGTATCACTTTGTTAAAAGTGTAGGTCTCTGCGAGTAGGACCACTGTATATAGTTCAGGCAATGCTAACCCCCTGTCGTGAAGAGGTAAATAAAGCCAACTAAATAAAACGACATGACACACTTAATGTGACCATTATGGAAAAAGCAGTTACTTCCAACTCAGATAATGGCCCACTTAACACAGAAAGCTCACTAATTAAAATAGCAGGGAAAAAAATTATAATGCAGTTACCTAAATAGGGTCAACTGGTTGGTTGTTTGTCTTCAGTGGTAACTTCTTAGCTGTTAGAAAATTATGAGCAAAGAAGTCTGATGTTGTTTTTCTGTAATAATGGGCATTATTTTCACTTTTATGTGTTCCTCCTACAGAGAAAATAGGCCTGATCTCTCCCTTTGTGGTTGCTCCAACTGCTCACTTCCACCACCCACACAACACATTTTCCCAGGCAACAATGTTCCTCCAAAGTTTACACACAATAAATAACGATATGCCCAAAGCAGTTAGCAGTGGCCCCGCTCTCCGTTTCCTGGCTGGAGTTGAAATGAAATGGTAATTTTGACTTGAGGAGGATTTCAAAGGGATGGCCTCTACTTTTCATCTTGGTGCATACCACGAGCTCGCCGACACATTCACGCTGGGATTTGAGAAAAAAAAAAAAAAGGAGAGGAGAGAAAAAAAAGCAGAATTTTAAGTTTTTCTATGAACTTCCTTCTTTCTTTTTTCTGCCATCTCCCCACAGAAAAAGAGATGTAACGTTGCTGAGATCTCTCCCCCAGATGGACAGCATTTATATAAACAACCATCCCCGGTTCAGGGAGCATTTGATTGATGTGTCATTGTCTAAAGATTGTTTCCAGGCATTTGAATAGATAATTCAGAGTATTTGATGTAGACATTTTTCTTCAAAGGTCAGATGTGGGGGTAGAGCAGGGGTGTCCTCTATCTCCCGTGCTATTTTTGCATCGAAGGCTCCAACTAGCCTGCCTGCTTTTCACAGGGGAGATTGACTGACACTTGAATCGTCCTTCTCTGCTCAAGATTAGAAGGTGGTTTCCAAAACTCCATCTGAGATCTGCTTGCTAGCTCTGTTATGCAAAACACCTTTGCTTCAAACAAAAGACTGTAACACTGTGTGGATGTGTCCTGTGCCTATTTGTTGTCTAGGTTGGCCTAGCGAGATTGAAGCGAGACCAAAGATGCAGGGGAAGGATCGGCCAGGAACTCCATTATCTCTGCAACAAGGAATGAGAAATGGAATTAAAACACCCAAAACAAGGTCTGTCACACATCAGCAACACTGGCTCCAATCTTCCCATGTATATAACATCTTACCCAGAATCCACTCTGGAAATCAAGACAGCCTCACACTTTGTACAGTATCTTATTTCCTACATCACAGCCTTTGCTCGCACTGACCCAGCAGCAGTATCGAGGGTCCACTTTCCCCGAGTCAGCTGATCACATTCCATTGTCAGTCAGCCATGAGGGAAGCGTCCGGGTGACAAAAGCAGCGTGTGAAAAAACAAAACAAAACACAGTGGCGTCTTCATTATCTCCTAGCTCCGCGGCCCGTGAATGAGGCCAGGGTTAATTGCTGTTGATTAGACGTCAGTACGCATGGCTGGGTGAGCTCACAGATCTCACTGAGGGGGCCACAGAGGGAGAAGAGGAAAGGATGAGGTCGCTCACAGACAATGATGTGAAATCAGTGTCAAGTGTTCCTCCTCGGTGGGTTTAGCTGGTTGGGAAGCAGATAAGGAATGTAGATGGGGCAACATGTAGATGTATTTTATCTGCCTAAATGAGCAGTTGGGCTCAGAATTGAGGTTGAAAGCAAATCATGCCATGAATAAAAGAAGGTAACCATGGTGATAAAATAATACTTGAACATGCTGGATTTCTTTTTGTTGTATGGTGTGTCTCAGTTAATCATTTATTTATAGATCAATAGCTTTTTAGGTTTATGTTGGTCTGTTGGTCTCTCGGTCTGTCCACCTCTTTGGTCCAGATGAAAATTGGATTGCCATTATATACAGATGAATGCTAATGAGTTGGTAGATCTCCTGACTTTTCCTCTAGTGCCACCACCAGGTCTCTTGTGAAATATCTCAATATCGACTAAATGGAATGGCACAAAATGTAGCCCAGACCTTCCCGGATTCCATTGACTTGATCCCCCCGACTTTTCCTCTCATGCCATCATGATCTAGTGAAATGTGTACAGATTGTATAGTGGATTGTCAATACATGTGATACAAACATGTAAGTCTGCCTCAAGATGAATTGTAACAACACTGGTGATGACCGGAGAGTGTCATTATCAGGTTACAATTTTAATTTATTTACAGTAACACTTTATGACTCCATGGAAGGTGACCGTTTATGGGTTTATGACTGAATACCTTCCTAACTAATGACATTCCCAGCAGCCTCAGCTGTACTTTGTAGTGCTAACTAGCTGATGTTAGTAAGATGGTGACCATGCTAAACATAACACCTGCTTAACCTGCTTCACATTGTCATAGTGAGGATGTTAGTGTGATAATGTTAGCATTTTGAGGTCCAGTGTGTAGGATGTAGTGGCATCTAGTGGTGTAGTTGCAGATTGCAACTCCCTCGCTTCACCCTCCCCTTCCAAGTGAGAAGGAGAAACTACAGCCCTATCTAGAGCCTGTGTTTGGTTTGTCCGTTCTGGGCCACTGTAGGAACATGGTGGACTAGTGGAGCATAATTCTTACTTAAAGGGGGTTATACACTAATGAAAACATACTTATAACTCATATTAGATTATTTTTTTTTTTTTTCAATAGATCATCCTGAATGTTACACACCGGACCTTTAAAAGCACTGTTTAGCTAAACAGCCTCACAGAGCTGCTAGTATGGCTGTATTCATCTTGTTAAATGGCTGTATTGCAAGCATGTATAATTCCAACTTTACCACCCGAAAAATTTATATATATAACTATATCTTAAATCAACTGATGCTTTGATGTTCATGAATTCACACTGACTTACAGACCCAAAAGTTCCTACTCTGTGAAATGTAATCCGCAGACTTTTAGATGGTTGCTGGTATGTCGCCAATTTGATGTCTGTCTCCGCTTGTGTGTAATAGACAAACAAGGCTCCTGGTCAACCCTAGGTTATATTTGTCTTTAATGCGTGATTTTTATCGCTCTGTTGCTTTTGTAGCCAAAATAATAACGACAATAGAGGTGGTTCAGACAGAGGCAGGAATGACAGGCAGACAAGGGAGGGCAGGACGATGCAACCTTCACGCCCTTCGCAGGCTGGGAGCTCGCTTTGTTTAAATCTCCCAGATCAAAGGGTGCAATGCAAATTCCTGCAGCTTCCACACCACCATTTGATGTTTCAGGGAGCCAAATTATTGTGGTGATTACAGTAGCTGTACACAACCGGTGGAGCGGGCCAAACAAGGGTCCTTGTTGTGACTCTCAATTAGTGGTGTGACATCTCAGCACCCAACGTCTGAGAGGCATCCCACAATAAGAGAGGCTGTTTGGGCTGATAAAGTGATTTGGCTTGGTGGGGTCCTTTCATCTGCAGCGACAGTGGGGTATTTGAGGCTTCTGGGTATTCTCTCTGCACATCCTCACACCTCCCCTTATTGTGACAATAGTGTCACTGTGTTCAGCGTTTCAAAGAGGCTATAGGCCTAATGCACGGTTAACAATTTCAGCTCAGTCTATTGTCATATAAAAGTGTTAACAGTCGCAGACTTGTATGAGGGGAAATTATCATGGATATACTAAAAATACCAGCACGTAGGCACGCTTTAATATTCAGTGTTTTATCAGTTTTTGGTTCTCATTTTCCTTTCCCGTAGCAACTTTACTCAGAACGGATATAAGATATCACACCATTAACAGTGTTCCGATGTTGTCTGAATATTCAAACACTCAGCCATCTCTGAAGTTGACGATGCAGGCGTTATTTTTTTGTTTGTGTGTTATTGAAAGCCATAGTCAGTTGAAAGGATAACTTTGCCTGTGGGAAGGACAGAGCACCAGAGGACCAGGTTCAGCTGTATTTCTGATAACACTTTGCATTCTGCAGGCTCCAGTGACAGCTCTGATGCCTCGTGTTTGATTGTGTCTTTTATGTTTTCCTCCTGCCTTCAGTATAAGCAGCAAGGCCGGGCTGGAGGTGGACCAATGGCGAGCAGACTACCGCGGAAGCGAGAGATTGAGATGTGATGCGTTTCTGCCAAGGTGATGGACAGGGGCACTGGAAGGATGTTGGTTTTCAGACACTCCAGGCTGTCTCTTATATGTAACAGAGAGTTGCAAAAGGCCCTGGTGGTAAAACTACGCCAAGTACAATTAGCATCATGACAGAAATCCTTCACTGTGGAGTGTTACTGTATGTACTGGAAAACAGATGGCTCACTATGAGGGTAGTTTTAAACCAATAATTTATTAAGGGAATTTCTCCATTTCATGTTTCAGACATGAGGTTACTGCTGAAAGCCTGGAATAATCAAATTACCAAGAGGATAAGGCTGGCTATATTTTTTCCTGTTGTCGACAAATGAAAAACCAACAATGAATTGACCTCACTAACTTATTGTCTGTATTTTCCAAAAGCTGATATGTTCCTCTGTGCCACAGAGCTCCATTGTCATCCAAAAACTATTAAAACATATAAATCAGCCCCATTGTTGCACTTGCTAACATGTTCCTTCATTAACATGAACACTGCCTCTGTAGTTTATTTTGACTCTCATATACACTGTTTTGGTGCCCTAAATACTCACTAGCGAACCATATCCACACCTGAGAATAGCCCCCAACAAATGCTCTATTTTCTCCTGTTTTTCCTTGTTTTTTAAAAATAAAAGTGTATATTTGTAACTCTTTTCTAAAGATTTGCGTCTTTGTTAGGGATGAATGGGCTGGGGAAGTCGTAAAGTATTGAGAGACAGACTTACACACTGGTTGGGGTGTTATAGTGGGATTTACTAGAAAATATAAGTGCATGTAAATGCTGTGATTGTAAGCTCAGGCAGTTGAAGCTCAAGGACAGGGTAAAGTTCATCATTCTTTCTTTGAGGTCAATGCTGTCGTGCACATCTCACTCTCTGAGGCCTCCAAATGCAAGTGCAATGTCCTTTTCCTATAGCTTTATTCCTCTCTGTGGCGGGCATTGTGTTGACCTGGAAACAGCTATTCACTGCTGTGAGAAAGAGGCCCCTGAAATGCTCTTTCTCACTAAAAGAAACATATAACAGTATTAGATCTAGTTTAATTACATAGGGGCTTGCGGATGGGCCCCTCTTTTCTCTCTGCGGTGAAAATGCTTAGCGTTTGTTGTCGGTTCAAGGCTCTCTAAAGGATGTGCTGGCATGTGTAGGGTTCTGGCAGAGAGGAAACTTGCGGTGGGGGGGTGAACTGTTATTGTTTGAAAAGCGTGTAAGCGGCCTTCACAACACCGCATCCACGGAAATGAAGCAAAGACAGAGAGAGAGAGGGAGAGAAAGAGGCAGAGAGAGAGCAAGAAAGAGGAAAAAAAACTCCTGCGCAGCTTTGACTGACGACTTAACAGGCGAAACCGAATTTGTCTTTTGCCGGGAGATGTCAGATGCCTTGCCAGTGAGAGAGAGAGATGGAAAGAGGGAGAGAAAAAGCACACCACAGAATCTCTCCTGCGTCTTTTTCGCCCTCTCTTTTCTCCTCCGGTTTAAGACGGCTCGGTGAATGCAACAACATCAAAGGCCTAGCACTCAGAATGTACATTGTTGTTCCAGTAACCACATGAAACAGAAAGGGAGAGATGGAGAAAGGCTGGGAGAGATGGAGCAAGTTTTTTTTTTTTCCCTTTCTCTCCCTGCACATAAATAGGGAGCTATGGAGGGAATCGGTTTAGAAACGGTAGAAGATTAACTCTTTTATCTCTTCATTTCAAACGTCCTCCATATCCACATCCTCCACATGCTAACCACTGTCAGGATCTTCATGCCTGACCAACAGCGCTACAAAGCAGAGGTGTCTCCTGTATTAGGACACATATAACTCCTCCACAAACAGAGCTGATGAGAGTAGAAATAGAGCCGAGGAGGAGGTTTATATAGCGTCAGTCCTGACTCATTGTCATTAAGAAAGCTCTCTGTAATCGGAGCTAAACTTAGAAAGGAACGAGCTCTCACTCTGCCACAGACATTCCACATGTGTATAAAAGAGGAACATAACGAAACAGTCCCAAACTTGTGCCTCAACGTAACCAACAGGCTTTATTCCTGCCTGCCCTTATCTTA